GCCGATATCTCGAGTAGTGAGGTCCCTCTTGACTTTCCTCTTCGTTATTAAGTCGTCTCTGACTGACCGTTTGACAAAGCGCACGATGACAGGCGGCGGTCGTGGGTCATCTTTTCTATTTCTGCGGCGTTGTACTATGTCCAAGTCATCTGTACTGAGCCTGATGCCCAAACTTGCTCCAATGCTGGTTACCAAAGTGGCGGGCGTTTCACCAGTTCGCTCCGGTATCCCTCTGATCTCTAGTGATCTGGATAACAAGCCCTGCTCTGCATTATTCAGGCGAACCTCCAATTCGCCCGACTCGAGATTTGAGGGCTTTATTTTCCAGGATAATTTTTTCGAAATGACTGGCTTGACTTTCGAGGTGTTTCTCAATTTTCGGTAGTTTTTCATTAAGCTCATAATTGAGCCCTCCATATTTATTGAGGGTTGTTTTTATGTCTACATTGACACTCGAGTCTAAGCGATTTACTGCCACCAGTATTTCTGAGTGGGACGGCTCAGTGTTAGGTTTTTTGGTCTGGTCACAATTAGGGCATACCCATGTTTTTTTTGTGAGCTTTTAAGGCTTCAATTTCTTTATCACTTAGATTGAGACACCAAGCGTGAAAATAATTTTGCATTTTAAACAGCAAAGATTGTTTTTTTCTTCGCGTGCAATAGTATTATTGCAAATATTGCACTGCACCATATTTAATTAAAGTGGTACAATTAAGATATAAATAAATATCGGGAGAGAGTTGTTTTGATGAAAACAGTAAACAGTGTTGTCTAATGCTGTAAAGATTAGTAGACGTTTACACTCCCGTAGCTTCTAGAACTCAATTGGATTCACAACAATTTCTTTAAGTAGATAAAAGTGAATATATTACACTAATCACAGTGAATACTAATACTGTTGAAAGAAAAATACACTTAACTATAATGAACTGTACTGAACATTAAAATAAAAAAAAAACAGAACTGATGATATAAGAGAGTATTAGCAATGTGTACAGGTATCTGTCTCTGGCCAGACTGAATTACATTAGGAAAAAAACTCAGTACTCCTTAAATAGCCAGTCGGGACGAAACCTCCCTTGTTATTTAATGTTACATCACCTAACCTCCCTTCTTATCTCGTATAAGCTCAGTTATTCCATTGTTTATTTTTGTTCTATTAGTGTTATTTTTGTCAAATTATGGATGTGTCAAATTATATTACATTGTGGGAATTGCCGTCTTCAGAAGAAGAGGCTATCAAATATTTTCAAGACGCCGGGATAATTGCAAAGGTGTAATATTGTTATGAAGGTCATGAAATGAAGTTCGACAGGAAGAGGAAATGGAGATACTTTCATACCACTTGTAACAAAAACGTTTCAATAAGAAAAGGATGTTAGAGCGATCAAGGATTTCATTTTTAATGGCTTTAAAATTCATTTATGGGTAGTCCCATAATTTAACAACAATACAGTGGGACAAACAGCAGCTGAAACTATCCAAGCAAACTATGGTAACTTGAAACAAATTTTTAAGAGAGGTTTGTGCCCGTAACATGCTAAACAGGTCAGGTAAAAAAAAAAAAAATTGGAGGGCCTGGCAAAGTCATTGAAGTAGAGTCTTTTTTCTAAAAGGAAAAATCATGTAGGAAGAGTTCTACCTGGATGTTTGGCGGAGTTTACAGAGAAGCAGATGAGTGTTTTATCGTCAAAATAAATGACAGAAAGGCAACAACTTTATTAGAAGGTATTCAAAACAATACACAAGATGGAAGCTATTTAATTTATTTTTGTCTATTCCATAAATTTGCTGTAAAATTACAGTGTTTTGTTATTGATGTGGGGATTACTACATTTCTTTTTGACTATTTCAATTTCAAATCAAATTGATTTGTTATTATTACATTTGTTTTCATCTATTTAATATATTGTTAGGTTACGGGGGCGGGGTGGCCGAATAGGCTAAAGCGTGTGTAACAGCACCGCTAGTTGCCTGGCAACCGGATAACAGAGATTTGAGATGATTTTGAGATTTGAGATGCGTCCCGGTGCCGGAGGGGATTTTAAATTCCCCGGCCCCGGAAAATCCCGTATAGCCTAAAAGGCAAGGTAGGGAAGAACAAAAAAAAAAAAAAAAAAAATTGTTAGGTTACGTTTCCTTTGAAAAGTAAACAAACAGATTCTGAATCAAATATTTATTTTTAAACAATAATTAATTCTCAGGTTGGGTTGAGAAAACAAACACACATCCTCAATTATACAATATAAAGGCATACAATAATAGTACATAACATTTTTATGAATTTCCATTCATTTATCAGGGTCTAATCTTGACACGCTTTCAAACTGTCACTAATTATATTTTACTCATCCTGTTCTGCAGTGAATCTTCCTCAATATTGGTGTCTTCAACTTCTACAATCTTCTTTTCTTCATGTGTTGACACTCACTACTTTTTTTTTTCTTTTTTTTTTTCTGGGTCCTCCCCTTCATCGCCTTTAAGGCTATATGGGGTTTTTACGGCCCAGGGAATGTGGGCGGGGATTTAAAAGATGCCCCTGGCACCGGGACACAAACTCATGACTATATTTTATCATTGTATCAAATATCAGGTTGCCGGGCAACGGCGGTGCTGTGCACACTCGATAACCCGTTCGGTCACCCCGCCTACCTACACTCACTACTTGTGGGTCACATGTCACTATTTGTGGTCTCGATCCTCTCTCCTAGCCAGCTGGCTACCTTCTGCCTTAACATATGGCATTTACTTCCCCTTCCACCTGTCTTTGTCCTTTTTTGACACTAGTTCGTGACGTCACGGCCTTCGAGCCACTATTTAAAGTCACTAGGTAATATTTACATTACATTATATGTTGTAAAATAAAAGTATTTAATCAAACTGTTTTGTTATTATTACATTTGTGTTCGTCTAATTTAATATATATATATATATATATATATATATATATATATATATATATATATATATATATATATATATATATATATATATATGTTGTGAAATAAAAGCATTTCTTTATAATTAATTTGGTTTTGTTTACAATTTAAACAATTAAAGTTATAAACATTGGCAGATAGCAGTCGGCCCCGACTGGCTATTTAAGACTATCAAAAACTCAATTATTATACATGGTACTTGTCCATTAGCCGGGCATGACGGACTGCTATCTGCCAAAGTTTATAACCTGAATACTGATAATTCTGATAAGGCACTGATAAGCCTTCTTGTAATTCCTATCTTCATATTCATATTTAGTATATTATTGAAATTGTAAACAAAAACAAAAACAAATGTAATAATAAAAAAATACTTTTATTTTACGACATATATATAAAATTAATATATATATATATATATATATATATATATATATATATATATATATATATATATATATATATATATATATATATATATATATATATATATATATGTATGTATGTAGAAAATGTTATAATTCCCACAACAATCAGAAAACACTTTAATTTAACATATATAAGGCATATACATTTATAAGGCATGACAAAAATAAATGTAATAATAAAATAAATAAAATAATAAATAAACACATAAAGAAGATATGTACATATAAAATAAACAATATAAACGACATGTACAATTTATTTTAACTTCATCTTATTTATTTTGGTAGGCAAAATAGTTTGATGCTATTTAAAATAGTGAGAAACGGGTCCTCTTCTTTGTGAATCCCCCGGCACAAAAATTCGCATATATATGAATAGAGGTGTTGTCTGGCAGTTCCTCTATGTATTTTATTTCTTCACTTAATTGACGAAAATAACACAAACAGGCCAAAAATAAAGAATTTAATAACTGAATGTAATAAGTGAATAACTGAAAAATAAACAATGTAATAACTGAAAGATTTGGTGAGATAAGAAGTGGGAGGTTAGGTGACGTAACATTAGATAACATGGTAACAAGGGAGGTTTCGTTCCGCCTGACTAATAGACAAGTACCTTATACATATCCAGTTTCTTTATTGAAAGTTAAAATGAACATAAGTCAATAATTTTAATAAAATCATTATTTTTGTCAATAATTTTAATAAAATCATTATTTTAGTCCATTTCATCACTTGTAGGCAAAACATTTATGATATGAAGACAAATAAAAACAGGTTATTGATTGTTTTTAATTACACAATTCATAAATTGAGATTTTAAGTTACATCTGTTTTAGGGCGGAGTGGGCTACAGCATGTGCAATACATGCATTCCACCGCAACCTGAACTGAAGATTATGAGTTTAAGTTCAGGTGCCAAGAGCTTCTAACTCTAGCATTAATCCCATGTCCTCTCCTCTGGCTTAGGAACAATAAAATATAGCTAAAAAGGGGAGGTAGGAAAGAAAAAAAAAGTTGCATTTATTTCACTTTAAAAAAATGTTTAGAGCTCTAAATTGATACTTTTACATTTTATTTCTAGAAACAAATTGAAAAAACAGTCTTCAACAGTATTAATGCATCCAGATAGTTGAGAATGAGAAAAACTAAATATAAACCTAACGCCTGGTACATATTCAACAATTTGTAAGAGGATTCAAATATGCAGTAGGAGCTGAGGGTGGATTTGACGGTGGAATCAAATATGCACAAAGTCCTCAGGGAGAATTTTAAACCATATGTTTGAACATTTAAGGATGCACAGGGACCTGAAGGTGCATTGTAAACAAAAAGAGAAAAAAAGTTGTTTAGTAGCTACTTTTTTAAATTTTAACATTTTATTTTAATTTAGTAACTTTTCATTTCAAAATTTAGGTTAAAATACCAAACTTTGAAATAATCAATTAATATTATGAAACACTGAATTAATAGCAAGAGCACCATTATATAAATTTTATGGGCAGTCATCAAAGAAATAACAGATTTCTATTAATAAAGAAACAAAGATTTTTAAACAAAAATGTTGAATCTAGCAGCTATTTAAAAGAAAACTCATAATGTAAATAGTAGAACTATTATTTTGCATACTTACAGGCAATAAGCCATAAGAATGATCGTGATGACCAGATAGTTTCCTTGAAAGTAACTCAAATTATTCACCGCTCGTTTCAGCAGACGAGGTATACTTGGAGGAACTTTGTAATGAGATGTGCTTATAAAAAGACCCCAAGGCTTTATACCTTCCCTGCATGATTGGAACCATGCTTTTAATGCAGGCAGCGTAAAACTACGAGGAAATCCAGTGAAATTGCTAGAAAAAAAAACAAGCTTTAGAAAGAAACAATTGGTGTTAAATATGTTACTGACATCAAACATTTTATTTATAAGGAAATTATTTTATCATATATATATATATACATCTTTAGAATCTTTAAAAACTTTTAAATAAGTTAAATTATGTCAATAGAATATATCAGGGCTTGAAACTTAACTTCTATTTCAACAGTTTTGGGAAAATGTTTTCTACAATAAAAGTTCTTAAGAAATTTTTAACAATTTAAATTTATTTTCTGTCCACATCAGGACTCAGTACACCTCAAAATAGGAATTTTCATTTGAAAATCTTATATAAGTTTTTCAGCTTCATATTTCATGTAAGATATACATATACATATATGTGTATGATATAGCAGAAGTAATACAATTTAAAATCTATTTCAAAACCTGGTATATATTATTAAATAACATGCTTGCGGAATTATTCATTTTGCTTCTTATCTACATAAAGGGTCTTCTAAATCCAGGTAAGTAAAAATCTTTTAATCTTATCTAAACTTTTAAAGATAAATCAAAAACTATTCAAATAACCAACAAAGATCCTGCAATTATTGTTCACTGTTTAAGTAACATATTAAATGGAAGCTTGAACTAATTTTTTTTTAAATTCAGTTTACCCACTTTTTTCATGGATGTCATGATTATTCAATGTTACATATAAGACTTTGGATCACACATTTATTTTCAAATATGAACTTCTGGATCGTAGTTATGAGGTAGTATAGTAATAGGATTTTATTTAACTCCTGTCTTGATTGATTACCCTAAAGTTTTGTGTTTTAACATTATGAACATAGAATTAATATTCTAATGATGTAGAGATGGTTGACCGTTGATATAATATGATTGGAACCATGCTTTTTGTCTTACCATTGCTTTGGAAACATTGGAAACCATTGGCACCATCGCTTTTTTGCTTTATGGCCAGTGTTTCAACTGCCTCCCGCAGTGCCACATCCTACGCCCTGAAGACGACCTGCAAAGTGGGTCCAAACTTCGGCAAAAATTAAAATAATTAATATATTTTAATTTTTTATTTATTTGACCGCACCCTCGACTAACTCCTTCTCAAATTAATATTCTATTTATGCAAAAGCTAATCAGTTTAATAAGACAAAAGTTACTCAGATCACTAAAACAGTAAAATACAATCAACCCAATACATTTTAAAACTCTATGATTTATAATGTTGACAAACAATGATATGTAAACATCTTTTATTTATTTGGACTTCGGTTGCTAACACAAATATACTGATTTACAAAGAAATATAATTTAAAAAGAACCTAACCTGGATCTCGGAAGCTCTTGGGGAGTTATTTTCCCACTGACATCTAACACTACATCAGTCATTACTAAAAATGCTGTTGCCAAAACCACAGATGTTATCACCCTGAGAAGAAACATATGTTTTCTTTTGAAACCTCTTCCACAGCTGACTCAAACTCAATCCACATAAAAATGAACTCTTCTGAATGCCGCCGAAAGATACTTATTACAATATTTGAATAAGATAAAAAGACAAGTGTATGTTTAAAAAAATCGGCACTTATCTTTTGAAAATATTTATCTCTTTAAATGCGTCAGAAGAAAGAAAATGAGCTGTAAGAAAAGATCATGTATAAGTATATAATTGATTTACTTCATACTAAACATTCTTATTTATTAAAATCTCAAAATAGCTCCAGCACGAAGATTATCATAATTCCTTGTTAACTTAACTACTAGACTGCAGCGATAATAAGCCACGTGGAACTTAGACCTGCATCACAAAATCATATTCACAACCAGTTTGTTTTCAATCATAAATGGTTTTAGTCTAAATTCAAAGTTTAAGTAATTTGGTTTTAAATTTCAAATTTACTACATGTCTCACAATGAGATAAAGATAAATAAAATAAAATGGAATTATGTTATAATACTAAAATACAATACATTATCATCAGCCTTTGAATGATGAAAGAGACGAAATAATAATTTTATAGTAAAATAAATTAGGGAAATTCAAGTTATATTGTTACTTTGTTAATTATTTAAAAAAATAAAATACTTATTAGCTATTACAAAACAATGTCACAGAATATTTTGTTACAATATCAGGTTAATTAAATTATTTACAAGAAAATATCGTCGGTTTATTGCAAAAAGTCATTAAGTGACGATTTAATAACCTCTAATTACGAAATTTGACGAATTTTCTGTTTGTGAAATTAAAAAATTTCAGTGTACTCAGTATAGCCATATATGATAAATAAAAGGGGTTTGTGTCATTTTCATAAAAATTTTGTATAGATGTGCACACGGTGTTTCTGTGTAGATAAATAAGGCCATAATTCAAAAAATCATACTTGGACTTAACCTACATCAAAAATGCACTTGGTGGCTTTTAGCAGCGGTTTACCCTTACATAAAAGTCTATGGATCATATCTTGAAAATAGAGTGCTGACAAATTTTTCATTCTATCTTATAGATATTTCAGTCATTACATCAGTTCAGTCGTCCACACCAGTTTACTTACCTAAATAAAGATTTTGTTGATATTTGTTCCCATTAGTCTTTTTGATCATTTGAATACAATTTATTTATGTACAGGCTTGAATTGCAATGTTTACGGTGACATCTGTTGTTGTATGTTTCAATAATTGTTAACGTTATTTGTTAATTGATGATTAATAATAATAATAATAATAACCTTTTTTATTAGTGCATACAATGAAAAAACAATGGATAAAAATATACAAAATCTCTTATATGTACAAAATCAACTTAGTTGAGGTTTTGAGTTCGATTTTTTTTTTTTTTTTTTTTTACTAACTTTCTTGTAACCACACTAGATAATGAACCTGTCCCATCCTTTTCCATTCGTTCATCTCTAATGCTACTCTCTTCCAGGTTGCTCCCCCCAGGTCTTCTTCATCTCCTTGTCCCAGTCTGTCGGCGGGCGTCCTCTCTTCCTCACGTGCTCTCTTGGATATCAATCCGTAAACTGTCTGATCCATGTTATACCATTCCTCCTGATTACATGTCCGGTCCAGATCCACTTCCTGATGAGCACTTTTTTCACAATATCTGGAAGGTCCGTCTTAGCTCTGATCCATTTGTTTGTTTTTCTATCCCTTCGGGTTATCCCCAGAAGATATCGTTCCATTCACCTGACGGTTATTCTCAATTTGTGGCAAGTCTTCTGATCAATTGCCCATGTTTCACAACCATATGTCATGACAGGAAGTACTGTGCTCACCTAAAGTTTTCTATTGACCTCTGAGCTCACCGAGGATCTATATATATCCTTAAATTTGAAGAGTGCGCGCCATCCCTGGGTACATCACTTGATTATTTCTTCATTTTGTCCTTTGATTGAGATAAGGTGCCCAAGATATAGAAATGTATCTACTTTCTCTATATGGTGTTCGCCTATTTTTATATCTCCCTCAACGTTCACTGACATATAATTGAGGATTAATTAAGATTAATAAATCAAATCATTTAGAATAACCAAGGCCGAATCGAGGGAGAAGATGGGAACATTTGGTCCAAGCGGTAAATTTAAAGTGAACGTTTACATATTTTCAGGTCAAATAAAGATATTAGTTTCTGTTTTGTTTTTATTTTAACATAGCAATGAATAATTAACTTTATTAAATAACTTTGATAAAATGAGTTAATGTTATGTAAAGATATTTATTCTAAATATGTTACCAAAAATACTATTATAAAACAATTTTTGTTAGAGGGAAATGGGAGAAGAATAGGCGACTAAATTAATAAAGCTTGCCCCATTACATATATTAAAATACATAGTTCTGGTCCTGATAAAAATATGTTTTTGTGACATTTATTTATTTTCCTTTCCTTCCTTTGTCTTTCAACAATGTTTGTAATTTATTGTATAAAAACAAAAAAAATTCAATCTCCTCTTTAGCTTGGTCCTTAATGCCTCAAACGTAGTCCATTTGGTGTTCACATGCTCGGCAATTTCCGGGACACCACAGCTGAAGCATACTTTTTTTTTATCAGTTTTAAAGGAACTTTTTTACTATTTGATACAAATGTTTTACAATAAAAGTTCTGCAATACTTTTTTAAGTTCACTTACCTATATATGAAATATATGGTAAGAGTAAGCACTGCGATCGTGAAAATTTTCGAATTTGAGTTTTCAACGGAAATACATGTTTTGAGGTTTCCTAAGTCCAAATGACCAAGTCCCGCAATATGGTCTGTGTGTGTGTGTGTGTGTGTGTGTGTGTGTGTGTGTGTGTGTGTGTGTGTGTGTGCGTGTGTGTGTGCGTGCAGGAATGCCCATCTCTCCCAAGGCCGATGGCGCATGCCCCCCAAAAAATATTATTGCCCCCCTCACTTATCTAATTAATATGTATCTGTGTGAGGTGTTATATCAATGCTAGTTTAAAAGATTGTAGATATAATATTGTTTTGTTTCTCGAGAATCTGAAAGGCGCAATACATTAGGTCAAAGATAATTACACTTAGTAAAGGCAATCATAATCAACAAATAGCATCAGTAATAGTCACATTGGACCCACATTTGAAAGACCATTGGACGTAGAAGGCGTACAAGAAGATAAAGGCCGAATAAAGTATAAATACTGCTATGTATTGAACCTAGCCAATAAGGTTTTAAATTTATTAATTAATGTAGAAAACAAAAGTGAATGAAATCGACTTCTGACATCATAAACGGCATCAAAGGTAGAAAGCAGGTAAATTAAGGACCGACCCTAACCTGGCTCGAGAAAAGGCTCAGAATAAAAACTAGTAACGGGCTAAGAAACTGGTTTCTCTTTGGGTGTTACAGTTATTATAAAGTAATAGGATGACGTTAAGAACCAATGATAACCATTCTTGGCCCATTCTGAAAAGTTTGTATAAATCCTAGCGAGAAGCAAGAAAAAGCGTCTGATGTGGGGACCCGGCCTTGAGGATGGTTCTTCTGTTTTCTTTCGGGTTGGGGACTGAAGCCTTGGCCCTACATAGACCATGATGATTCTGGAAGAGCTTTGAACCATGACGAGATGATCTCAACTTCGCAGATGCAATGATGAAATCTACCAACTACACCACTTCATATACAATAGATAAGTTTTATTCTCAACAATAAATTTACCAATGTTATAATATTTCATAACAATAAATTCTCAAACAGTCTATCTGAAATTATTCCTTCACAGTTAATTATTAAATTCATTGAATCACGTATTTTGTTCTTGTAAATATAATTTGTATGTATTCTTTATTAAACATAGAAATAAATTAAGTTTTTGATTAAAAGTTATTTTAATTCTGCCACCTATTTATATGATTACAATCATAGGTAATGTGTGTAATTAGAAAGCATGATAAACACAAACCAGCCTTTGAGAAAAGAAATCCAATTAATTAATTCTGGACCATTCAATATATTATAGATCTAAATTTATTTTACTAATTTTTCATTATTAATTTTTATTAAATATTTCTGAGTAATTATCATCAATAATTATCCAGCGGCATCCCGAATAAATTTTAAAACCCCAAAAGGTAATATATCAATAATTGTATCCCTCATATCCCTATCCATCCCGACTATCTCCTCACATCAGACGCTTAATCTCGTTGAAGGTGATGAAGAACTTTGATGGGATTTTCGAATTTTTTTATTGATATTACACAGGGAATTGTCACGTGCATAATGAGAGGACAGGTAAGAATTAAGGATTCACAAAGGCTATGATTTGTGCATGGCAGTGCTCCTGCTCACTTTTCTAATAGTGTCACTGATTATTTAAATGCATCTTATGAAGACTGATGGGTTGGTCGAAACGGACCTGTTAAATAGCCACGATCTCCGGATTAAACGCCATTGGATTATTTTGTGTATTTGTGTAGATACGAAGAACCAGAGAAGCATGGATTTGTCACGCTGAATGTTGCATTCAACAAACCGGATGCCCATTTGAACTGTTACTCTAAATGTAATAATAATAAATAAATAGTAATAATAAATAATAAATCTTTAACATTTAATATCTATTTAATAAATGAGTTTGAGATTTATGTTGATATGAACTTTTTTGTTTATTTTGTGTTAGTGAACACATACCTAAAATATAGCCGTGGTGCAATTACGAAACACCCTGTAAATATATTAGAATCTTCTATAAACAGTATACTTACTATATTTTTATAATTGTGTAGTTTAGTTCCAAATTATTTTTGAACTCATAACTGTTTCTTCTTGCAGCTCTGCAATCACTTTTCTTAACAAAAAGAGAAAAAAAGTTGTTTAGTAGCTACTTTTTTTTAAATTTTGACATTTTATTTTAATTTAGTAACTTTTCATTTCAAAATTTAGATTAAAATACCAAACTTTGAAATACTCAATTAATATTAAGAAACCCTGAATTAATAGCAAGAACGATATATGATGTTGATAATTCTAATAGTGCACAATAACTCTAAACATTTACATTCGTATCAGGGGTATATTAAGGCAATGTC